AATTGGAATTTTTTTTTTGAAACATCGGACTGTAAGAGACTTCCAAGTGAAATTAGATTTCAGTAATCATGGATGGAGAGATAAGGTCTTTTGTATTTTGGTTTCCAAATTCATATAAGCTGGAAATTAAAACGTATTTTGCGTTTATCACTTTGCATTAAGCGTTGATGGGACTTAATATATGATATTAGACTCATTCTTAATAGAGTATTTAAGATATGATATTCTAAAAAATTAGTTGCTATATCCGCATGAGTGATCCGATCCGTTTAATCAAACATATATAGCTAGGGATTTGGGAAGCCCATGACAATATGTTTAAAACCTGGTTAAGAAATATTGTTAAAGCCGGTCGCATGATGAGTCAGATGTACAACCTGTGGTTCAACTGCCATGGGCATTTCATTCTCCTAGGGCTTTCTTAAAATAATTAAAATCAGTTTCACATGGTAAATATACATAAGTAAGTAACTGTAGTAAATAATTAATAGATTGCTGATTGCATATATATATAAGATATTGAAATATTTATGTCCTGACGTTACATTATACTAGACATCGTACTTCACTTACATATCATCAAATCGTTCTCTCTTTCATTTTCAGTATACAACGATTTGAGCAGTCAAATATTTGCTGTTTATAATCCAATGTCTATCCAATGTCTCTATTTGAAATAAAATGTCATATCTTTTAGTAAGATAAAGTTTGTCTTACAACACAATTTGTCGAGAATTAATTTAAAACTAAGATGGAGTTAAACGCAGGTTATGGAAGTTTACTATACGAAAAGGTCATAATGAATTGTAGTGCAGTAACTTATATCCTTGGCTAAAGCGTTCACATAAATTTTTATTTTTTCATAACGCTAGCTCAGTATTCGCTTTAGATAGATATATTGGTAACCTGGACAACATGTAATCCGGCTGCATATATTTATCTCTTCTCTATTTATTTATCTCTATTTATCTCTTAAGCCATTTTAGTAATTTACATTTGGTTTGAACTTCTATTCGAATGTAGGAAAAGATTCTTTCTGCTCGAGTTAATGTTTCTTTTACGCCCGATATTGTAGATACTGATCGCACATATGATTATGCCAAAATGCTTGCCTTATAATTAAAAGCTTTCAAATCTGTTACTGTCTCCATAACTGATTTCTATTTCTGACAAGCCCATAAAAAAAGCTAAGATATAATTACTGAGCCTCTAAGTGGTTCATCTTCAACAATTGTAAACCCACGTTTAAAGTCTAAAACCCATCGATGCACAGTTGGATATAAAGGAGCAGATTTTTTTAACACATTTATTTTTTTGTATAAATTTCTGTTGCTGATAACCTTCTGATAACAAAATCACTGACACGTCGTCAGCTTCAAATGGATTTTAAAAAACACTAAATTAGACAGATCGAAATGAAACACAATATGTACAATATATTATTAATACATATTTCATTTGACTACGACTAGTTCAAGTACAGAGAACTGTAAAGCAATTTTGTTATATTTTACAATACGTTTTACAATTGTCAAGTTGCCTAAGACTTAGTGCTAATGTAGTAGTAATCTAAATTTTTAGATAAGACAACTAATTCAAAAGTAGATCTGAAGGTTTAATTCCTATAAGCCTCCTCAGCAGGCCAGATGTATTAGACAGATGTTTGGCTACTACAACCATCCCGACAAATAATTCGGAAGAAGATCTAAAGGCTTAATTCGTTAAAGTCTCTTCAGCATGCCAGTTTGGGTGCTGTTGTAACCGTTTTTTAGTGCTTTACCGCAAACTTTTGTATTACTGCATTTACAGATTCAAGCCCCGATGGAGGTCAATATTCCTAATGAATCACGGAGCGAAATTGAAAATCAGAAACTCTTAAAACTTTATTTTGAAAATTTTGGATAATTTGAATAGCTGATTTTAGTGCATATCGCCATAACTGAATTCCATACGTCCACACAGGAGCTAAGACTTGGGTTTATATCATATCAAATGAAAGATGTAATGTCAAAATAGATGTCGCTTTAAAAACTATTCAGCCAACCTGTAATATTGTCGGTGTCGGGAATATCATAGTAGTTTTTTTCTTCTTTTTTTTTGCGGCAAGGAGGAGTTGAATGCCTACGCACTGACCACAATCCGGCGCCCCGAAAAGTGAGTGTCCGACTCGCTCGGACTAAACCAACTCTCCCTCATTCCTAGAGACCTTGTTCTACCCCGGGACTACGTTAGTATTACTTCGAGGTAGGGTCTCTATTAGTCATCTAAAACTTCCATCGGTGTGACCTGTGTCCAGGCCCCGCAGCTGCTGCAGGTGATTAACCTTATCCTTCATTTTTGTGTGATAAATCTGTTTTACTCCAGCTATCTTCTGTCAAGGTCTACTTTTTTCAATCTCAGGATCTTTTCAGCAAACATTTTTACGCGATCCCAGTTTGATATGTTTTCGTTCATTTTTATCATAGTAGTGGAATGTCATAAAATCATTAATTTAAACATTGAAACAGAGTTGTTTTATATGTATGTTATCGATAAGAAGGTATAACACAAGTCTGATATATTTTGTTATGAGGACGATTTTTTATTTTGGATATTTTGGATTTTCTAAGTAACAAACTAAAAAGAATAACTTTGAAATAAAAATAGGCAACCTCAAGAATTAACTTTCAATTCGTGGAACTCGTGTTTCCAAATAAAGCTGTAGTTTTTTATAAGCTCGTTCTAATTTGAAAAAAGCATAGCAAGTGCCTTAGTTAGTGTCACTTACAAATAAAGTGACAAAAAACTTGGAACTTAAGCCTTGGCGACTTGTGAAAAAATACTATTAGTCATCGTTTCTAATTTGACAGGCACTAGTCTGGTACTTGCAAGTCAACAAATTATATACGGACTATATACAAACGAATTAAATAAAATTCGAAAATTTTCTAAGTTCAGTGATAATGACTACTGGGCAATACTCGAAACAGCGTCAAATTTCGATATATTAACTAAAAAATTTTTTGTTGTTGTCTTTTCATTTATACTCGAAGCTTTTAACTTTTAATTATTTAGTTGTATATCTATACTTACATTTAACTTATCATTTTTTTAATAGAATCTGAGGATCTAAAATGATTTACTACTAATAAATTCAAAATAATCTATTTTTTCTATAGTATATACTTTTTTATTTGATTAACATTGGCAACCCAGAATCCAACCAAACTAAAAGCACCACTTGTTACGCCTCTATGAGTACATAAAAATTGATGCTTTAAACCACAATCAATAATGTACACTTGAGTATATAAATTAAATGTCCATTAGTGACAGAAAAAGCAACACTTTGTGCGGTGGAACGCTCCTGTCGAGAGTAAAAGCGCCATTATCCAACATTTAAATTAAGTTAACTCCGCTCGTTGTACAGTAACAAATGCATATAGTCGGGAAAGCCCGATACATTGTAGTGTGCAGGCGAAGTGCCTGTGGAAAAATATACAAATTTTAATTTTAATTACAAGGCTATCAGTTGCACTTTGACCAACAGGCAAGGCTGCTACAAAGTGCACTGATGCGTCGTTGATGCGTTTCTGTGTTTGCCCAACTCGTACCGAAGACGATAATGTTGCCGATAATGACCCCGGCGTTGATGTTATGCATTCAAACACAGCAAATCACTGCAACACGCTGCTCCTGACTATGTTGCAGTGGCCATTGTGGTGATGTCATGTACACATGTAAATATGCACCAACAACATTGTTAGCACTGGTGTTTCCGCTGTGCCTACGCCACCAATGGCCATTGTTACTGCAGGAGGTAAAGTGCATCTATACAAATGCTATTATCCTGCCGAACATGCAAATTATTAAAATAAAATTTTATTGAAATATCAATATTTGTGCAATACTTCAGAATGCAACTTCGCCTGCACTCGCAGTTTTATGCACTCTGCCCCACGACCAGCGTAGCCTATGCCTGTTCGCAATTTGTTGCATTCGGTGTGTGTTAATTGTATTTGGATTATCGGATATATCCGCAGTGAACTTTGCAGGTATTTCACAGCTATTTTAGTTACTAGGATAACGAAAGCGCCACTGCTTAAAGTGACATGAAAGCAAAATAATTTAATATAAATGCATTTCCCTTGCAAGGCTACTTAATATTATTAAATTCTATGTACGCATCCGCGTATCCTTGCTATATTGCCTTATATATAATTATATATTACTATGCATTAACATATTTGTAACTGTTGTAGTTGGAAGTTGATGATGTTAATATACTTTTGACAAACTTGTACATTTTTAATAAGTTTAGCAATGCAACGTGCGTTGTTGTTTTTGTTATCCTTTGGCAGGCGTTGTAGTGCTGCATTTTGCACTTTATTGTCCTGAGGCTTGTTAAATGCGCGTATTTTATTGAAAAGCAATTAAAATCAAGCGTGCTGTGCATTATTGAATTATGTTCTCATTGTGGTGGTATGTCGGAAATGTAGCACAACTCTCGGCCAAGGCGAGGAGAGTACAAAAATTGCCTCATAAATATTTATTGCTGCTCTGCTGCACTTTAAAGTGCAACTTTATTTAAAGCAAAATTAAAACGTCATAAAAATTCATTAATCCAAAGCTTAATGGTTAAATATTAACACCATGGCTCTTTAATGCGCTTCCCTTAATATTTATGGAATTTAAATAAAAGCAATTATAATAAATAAATATGCGCGCCGCTAATTTGGAATAATTAAGTAGCCCTTCTGCGAGCACTGATTGGATTTATTTGAACAATAAGTCATCATTTCTAATACTTGTATGCAAAGAATGCAATATACGATGTTAATAATTTTAATTAAAAATATGTATTTGAAATATTAAAAATGTGAATAGCAAATGTTTTGTTTAAAGCGATTTATGCAGCTAATTGAGTGATTGATTATAACATATTTACCTGTCTGTACAATGCACTTGCAATCCTGCGGAGAATAATGTTTAAGAATTCAAGGAGTATAATAATAATGATAAAGGAATTAAAACACAGCTAATAGCATTTATTTCTTATTGATGATACAATCAAAAAGTACGAGCTAGCAGATGAGGTAACTAAAAAGAGCTGACACATTCACTAAAACCCCGATGTTTGAACTGTTTGAAAAAATAAATTAATTCAACATTGCGACAATAAATAACTTACGAAAACTTTGCGTATACTCTAAGCTTGCAAAACAATAAAGATCTTTTGAGTTTTAGCAAATGACAGTAAAATATTGTAAAATAAATTCATTTTTCAAAAGAAATTTAAAAAATCCAATAAATACCCCAAGGTTATGTTAGTTGGTTGTAGTGGCACATCATCAGATAACTTCCAAGTACCTCAATTAACGATTTTTTGCCACTTTATAACCACATTGCTCACAAGAACCCCTAATATAAAAGTGCATAGCAGCCTTAATCCATTTAGATAATTTAATAGGTCCTTTGTGTTTTACCGCAGAACAGTCCGATAAACTGTAAAGAGAGTATCTTACTAAAAACCTATTTCTGCTGGCCGACAAAGCTGGACATTCACAGAGAAAATGTTTTATAGTTTCTTATTCCTTCTCACAACTTCTGCAGTAAGGATTTTAAGGTATGCGCAGTTTTTCTCCGTGGATTCCTATACACCAATGACCAGAAAGAATTGCAGTAAGCGTTGAATAAACTGAATAAACTGAAAAATTAGATGAAAATGAGGGTGGTCAAAATCTAAATAAATTTCAGATTCTAGAGATCCTGTTCTGGGAATAATTACTTAAACTTTAGTAAATTAAAGTACTCAACCGCTGTTAAAATATATTAAATAAAGCATATTAATGTAAGTTAGGTCAAGATTTCATAATGTTTAATTAATTAACATATATTAATAGATTGATAAAAAAAAATGTTACCAAAGCAAGTATCGTAACCAAGATACACCAAGTTTAGTTAAAAGTCGAAGAAGTTTCTTTATAGCGATAAGCTAGTACGCACTAATCAAGCCCTGCCAAATCTGAAGTGTGGACCACTGTGTTGACATATACAGCCAACGTACACTTACAGGGCATTTCAGGCAACGATCTTTCCGGTCACCATACTCAAAAATCTTTCAAAAGACTAAGCAATCTTTGCCAAAACTGCTCTATTAATTTGAGGAAATCAATTTGAAAGTTTTGGTGTTTATTCTGACAATAATTGCAATGCTGTTCGGGCTATTAATTAGACCTTAAACCATAATTGGTTTTTAAACATCAACACTATCGTTTTTAGAACACATTTCATAGTAATATAATGTATGATGTCTTGTATACGCAGCCTATGCTTACTATATCTTCAACTTTATCTAATATTAATACCTCTTCAATTTTCTAAAAATAGTTCCTTATAAAATAATTCTCTGAAAATCTTGGACCCCTTAAATTCATTTTTATATTTTTAAAAAAACTTTGAGAAATATCCTTTTAAAATATATCTATGTGCACTCCTCTATTTCTAATATAATTTTAAATTTAAACTTTTGTTTACATTTTTTTTTTCTCTCTCAACTTTCATTTGGAAATTTCTTTATTGTCCAAAGCTATTATAAACATGCCAAATAGTTAATTTATGCAAACATGCAAAACTTCAAACCAACTAACAAAAGTGTTGTTACAAACAGAAATTACATTTTGCCACTTCTGAGTTTCTCTATCCACACTCACAGACCCCACCCCAAACCGGACCCATGTAACTGCTTCACCACTTCACTGAAAATGTGCATTTGAAATGTTGCAATGGAAAGCTATTATTGGCGCTCAGTTCAAATGGGTCTGCATTTCAGTTGGAACTTTTCTTTGTAACCGAAATCGACTCCATTTTGTAAGTGAAACATTTTGACCCGAAGGTGCTAAGCTGCAATACTTCTAACTTCTCAAATAGCACCTACAAAGGGAGTGGCAGAGAGTGCAGTATTAACAATAGTTTTGCTTAAACTTTTAAATTAAAAGTTTGGCCTGGACTCGGAATGAAGTGCAAAGTACGAGTGCAGCAACATTTAATATAGAAAATTATGAAAATTGGCATATTTGCAGCTCTTTACACCCCACTATCCAGTCTCCTGCAGAGGTAGACAATGCATTTACTTTAAAGTAAACGGTCTTCTTCTTAAGTAAGTTTACCCATTAAATGCTCAGCAATATTTAAATTAATAAGTAAAAGAATTCTAAATTTCGCCAATTTGGCTTTTATCCTTTCAGTTTTTCTTACAGCACCGACGGTGCAATTACTTTGCCGGGCGGTGCTGCTGCTTTCTGTTGCTTCTTCTGGATGAGATAATGGCAGGAAGATGCACAGTAAATTGCATTTTAATTGTAGTTTAGTTGCATGAAAACTTATTCGCAACAGGGAAGCAAGAAACTTTTCCAAAAGTTGTTCCAAGGCGTTAAGGATATTTGGAATTTTATTTTCTTTAGTTCAAGTCCAATATGCTTCTAAGGATATTGGGGTAATCATCATAAATAAGTGATTAAAATTCATAATATTTCATTTGTTGTTGTTGTTATTGTTGTGTTGATGTCTTACAGCATGAAAAATAACATAGAATTCAGTTAGGACCAATGTCCAGGCAAAAATTTGGAATAAATAAAATATGTACAAAAGATAATAAAAAAATAATTAAATTCTTAATTTGTACATAGTTCAACCTCCGCCAGTTCCAAATCATTTTCAAATTTCTCCACAGTATTGCCATTGTGTTTAATTGTGCGTAACCATTTCACATAGTCATCGTCAATGCCTGTTTCAATGGCACCTTTAACGAGTGTCTTCAGGTAGGTCTTGGACGGCTGCCTATTGAATGGAATGCAATCTGCCGGTGCTTTACTTAAGTTGGTCGTAGGTTGATTGGCCAAGTGATAGGCACGACAACAAACTGGAGTTTTTGTGTTTAGTGACAGCACTGAGACTGATATGGGTACATAAATACCTTGTGCTACGCCTTCTTGACTATAAAGAAAATGATATTAGATCGATATATTATATTATTTATATTCAGTGGCGTATACAAATGAGAAAGAGAGATTTTTAATAATTTATAAAGGATTATAAATCAAAAAGTTTAATTGAAAAAAATGCTTTACATGTATGTAATGAAAAATGGTCCCAAATATTCTAAGATAGGAGGTTTTTAATCTTAATTCCCGTTACCTTTCCCCGATAATACGATAGCCCATTGCTAATTATATATAATGCAAAAGTTTAATTGAAAAAAATACATTATATGTTTTTAATGAAAAATGGCCGAAAATATTTTTAGTTGGAAGATTTTCAATCTCAATTTTACTTCCCTTCCCCCGATATGTTGCCCCATTTCAAGCTAGTTATAATGAATATTCTGCCCCTAAATATTTTCAGTTAAACTTTATAATTAACATAATTGTTGAAACACACCCTAAAATAAGTCTCAGTTTGTATACGCCACTATCTTTACTTTCTATACTTAACAAACTTACTCATCCAGATCTTTCATATTGCACATATCAATTTCCCATATGCTGCCATAAACATTTTCCTCACAGCATGGCACTATTGTCGCTGGGGCTCCATTCCAGTTTCTGGATTTTGAAAAGAAATCCAGGCGGTAATTCTGAAATGCAAAAAGTAAGAATTTAGTGTGTGTGCAGGGTATTATTTTATGTAATAAATAGTTTTTTGGTAACAGAGCTTTAGTAAAACGTAGTAATGATATTGTATACATATATTATTATTGCTAAGATTAAGCAATATAAAAATATCGGAGACTATATCGCACAAAAATCAAGTATTGTCTATTTCTATACAGTTCTATTTCTCTGTCTATTTATCTGTTCATCTCCCTGTTTATTCAATTATGTACCTAACCATTTAATACATATTTACAAAAATTTTATATTTAAAATAATCTTATTATTTATTTTTTAATAAATAATAAAATTTAATAAACATTCATAAATTAAATAAAATATTTATTAATCCATAAAAATAATTCTTTTCCATTAAAAATATATTAATTTTTATAAATTTATTTATTTATATATATACACATACATTAATTTTTTATTATTTATAATTTAGACTATACTAGGTTAGATTAATAAATATCTATATTAATATAAAATATTTAATTAATTAATAGATATATATTAATTTTGAATCAAAAATTTAGGGAATGTATAAATCGGTAAGGATCTCCTATTTTTTATATTTATATATTTATCTAATGTTCCATTAAAAAATATTGCCAAATATATAAATATTTAATTAATTAATATATATATATCAAACAATTATTATATTAACCCTATTAAATTAAATTATTTATAATAAATTCCACCCTTATATATTTATATATATAGTATATTTTATAATTATGTAATATTTCATTGACTAGCTGTTTGCCAGTTTCATTATCTATATCTATATATTGATCTATATCCATATATGTATATATTGGTCTGAACCTCTATATTTCTAGCTATCTGTTTTTAATTTTAGTCGCTGATTAAATGGACCTTAACGCATTTACTTTTTGTGAATTTAAGTAGTTCACGTGGATAAATGGATGTAATATCAAAAGTATTCACACCTAGTAAAAAAGATTGAATAGGTAGTTGCTATTCTGAATTAATAGCAACTACTACAAGTAGCCTATTTTCAATATATATACGACGTGTACTCAAGTAGTAATAAGAGTTTTCTATTGCTCTGAGAATTATTCATTCAATTATTAATGTTTGTTCTATTACTTTTAAAGTAGTCATCCTTTAATATCAACACTTGTGCCACCAGTATTTCAAGTTTAAGTAATAGTGTTACTTGTGTTTCAGATAAAAGCTAAAGGCTTCTCGTCGATTTTGCCTGTTTTCCGTCTATTTTTGAAAAATTCTACCGTTTAAGAATCTTTTTGACTCTCAAAAGTAAAAAAGAGTTTGCATGACACCATTTCTGGAGTAGAGAGTGCTTGTGACGCTGTAAAGAAGATATGTTTTGCTATATAGACTTATTCCTTCTCTATATATTCCTATTTCTTCTGGCACCTCTCCAATAATTTATTAGTAAACCCACACCGTCAAATGCTTTCTTAATTTTGTCTTTACATAACACCAAGCTCGCGTCATCTTTAATTTTTTCTGGACTATCTGAGAAGTATTTTTACCATGCATTAACCTAAGATTATGATATAGCATTGTTGCCGAATGACTTCTACATTTCAAATGCTTCACTACCCTCTTAATTCTGTTCTTAACAAAAACTTTTACACAAACTTTTTGATTCGACATCAGCAACAGAAAAAATTGTATAATAATAGATATTATGTGAGTTCTCATATATAGTAGTTAACTTAATTATGTAAAAATATCGAGAAAGATTTAGTCCTTACCTCCAGCTTTCCAGGTCCTATGCGCTCCGCCGTGGGATTTTGAATGTGAATACGCTTTGCCAGCATGTTGCTGCCAAACCCAAAGTAGAAAAATTTACTGGCCATGTTTAATTGGTATGAGCTATAGAAGAATTAATGTATTATAATCATGCTCAAAATATTATTATATAAATAAAATATTGTTAATAAATACACTAACATAAAAGAGTAAATATAATAACATAATAAAAAAAAGAAACCTTTATTTAAGGCAATGCATCTTATAAGGGTTATAATATATATAGTTTATATATAGTATAAAGTTATATAATATGTAGAAATAAGTGAGTATCAATTATGCAACAAAAAAAAATATCTATCAAGTAAATGTGATTAATGGCGAGTTTTCCAAAGTAAAGTTTTAATTGATAAGTCATATCTGCTAAAAATTAAGACATTAATTCTAAATAAAATTTCATACTAATACAAAATATATAACAACAAAGATGACATGATATATTCTCTACAAACAAATCCAATAGATCAAACTCGTTTTAAAAATTCAAATTTTTAATTTTGTGTTTAAAAGACGTTATGAGTAAAAGACACATGTATTCAAATCAATATTTACACACATCCATCACTAAAATCCACAGTTTCTTTATTTTCACTAACAGCTGTAGCTGGCTTAATTAAATATCAAGCCATCATTTTATCAATAGACCCATCAATCCACAACATATCCATCTAAGGCACATAGAAGTATTTATATGAAGAGCTATGTCATATATATATTCTTCTTTTGTTGCTGTAAAAGACGTCTCTCTAATTTTTTACCAAAAGTATACTAATTTCTATTCCTCTCTTTAATAATATATTATGACACAGATATCTTCAGAGTATTGTAGATTTAAGTCATTTTATTATATCTCTTTACTGCAATTTAAATCGAAATTGCTTTTTGAGAAGTTCTAGGTTTCACACACAATTTAAAAATAATTTTATAATAATGAAAGTGAGAAATAGTTATAAGTATCTTTTATTATTATAATTGCAGATCTATATTGAGTCGTATACCCTTGTTTTGCGATGTGTATTAAATAAATAAGGTAAATAAAAATCTCTCAAACGATTATCGGAATCAAATTAAGAACAGTTTCCTATCTGTGTCGACAACGGAACGAAAAACGTGAAAGATATATTCTATTTCCAACTATATTTGAATGAAAGAGTAGCAAATAATTAATAAT